AATACTTAATTGTCTAAATAAGAGAAGTTTTCATTCATACATGTCCTAGAAAGTGAAAAGTAAAAGATAGGTACCAGTGAAAGAGGAGAAACTTGTCCTCATCTTTCTCTCCTGGCTTGTTCCTTGTGACAGAAATAGTGGAAAGGATATTATCCCATTGGTCACATCTTTAGCCTTTAAGTTCCTTTGCAATAACAAGATTTTTTTGATAATATCAGACCATCAAATGGATGACCCACATAAAAGAAGATCCATGCTTGTGAGATGCAGGTGCATTGAGCTGGTGCTCATCATCTGTGTGCAGTCTTTTTTCATATGATCACTAGAAATGAACACCCACCAAACAAACAAGCAATTAAGTTCAAGTAAATGGTGATTTTTATGTCTGCCAAATCTTATTTCTTAATTTTATATTTCACATTCTATGGAGTCATAAGCTGTCATTAGTATTTTGTGAATGAGAGGGGTCCAAGAAGGAAGATATTAGTGCTGAATGAGAGGGGTCTAAAAGGCACATTTGGAATCTCTTAGAGGACTGGCATATTATATGTTATTAAGCACCAGAAAAGCTGGCATTGCCGACAAGGTTACTCCCAAGAACATGGAACATATTCTCATGGATAATAATAAGGTTCACCAATCTTCCTTCATCAGTGATGATTTGCCAAAACAGTTCTTTTGCTTTAAGCGTAGGCACTAAGAGAACCATGTTCTTTGATCAGAGCATCATGTGCTTGTCTTTGTAATAATTTTGTTAGGTGATGATCTTGGATGACTATCCTTGAAACTGTAATGGTTTGAATCTGATGATCAACTTAACTATCTCTCTCTCTCTCTCTCTCTCTCTCTCTCTCTCTCTCTCTCTCTCTCTCTCTCTCTAACACAATTTTCCTCCTGCAGCCAATTATCCAATTTTTTCAGATTACCTCCTGCTAAAAGATTACTAATCATTCTTTCCCAGTCTTATGGAAAGAAGGAACTTGCTAATTCTATCTCCATCTCACATTTCAACCATATCACTTCTCATTCTGGGGTTCATCATCTTAGTTTGAGGTTGAAAAGGATCAATATTGTTGGACAATTCAGATGTGAGATGAGTAAAATGAGCTTAAGGTTCCAAATCTCCATACAGATAGGTAGGTGATGATTCTTAAATAATTAATATGACTTTGTACTTGAGAAAAAGACAGTAACCTTCTCTTTGGTCTCTAGCATCAGCAACTCATTACTCTTGATATGGTTGGTATCAATCTTCTTAGTCAAGATCTCATATGATGTCTTTACCATCCCAAGTGTCAAACAACTTAAATGATTGTTTTATTTGCAACTTCCATCTACAACATTTTGATGGACTTATCATAAAAAAAAAAAAAGATAAGAAGAGCAGTTTGTTGGCATGTGTATGATTAATTTTTTTATTCTATCTTTCATGAGATCCCCTTCCCTAGCTGTTCCCTTTAGTGGGTGATGTATGCTTTGCATCATGTAGGATAATTTAATGAAGGATTTTGTAATACCAAGGACCAAGGACAAAACTAGTGCAAGGTTGCTGCAAATAATAATACTAATAATAAAACATCAAGAGCTGTCTTCTTAATGCTCGAGAAGAATTATTATTCAATATCAACAATTTCATAGGAAATTGTTTGTCTTTTGTTGCCATTGATGCTTTTATTGTCATATCAACAATAAAGGTGTCCTTGAAAATACTTTTTATAATAACAGTAGTAGTTCTTCAAAAGCTGTCTTCTCAATGCTTGAGAAGAATTCTTCAGTACCAACAGTTTGATAGGAAATTATTTGTCTTTTATAGTCCTTAATGCCTTTATGTAACAATCATACTCTTGAAAGTTCATAATAGAAATTTATTGTGTTCATCACAATAAAATTTCTTGCTCTTAAAGGTCACAGAGTAGTAGTACCATGGATCTGTAGGCAGCACTTCATCATGCTTGACAAGAAAACAACAATCTTCTTATAGTAAAAGAACAAATAAAGCTTGCTAGAATCAGATCTCAGTAAAAAAAAATGTTGCTACAGTTCTCACACATGTATTTGCTCCTTAGTATATGATGACCAATTCAAAGAAGTGTGTCTTATGAAAAGATGTCCTTGAAAATACTGTGTTTTATAAAATTAAAAGGAAACTTCACCTCTGAGTTATCAGTATAATCAATAATTAGGATCATCTGATAGTATTTTCCATGATATACTGCAGTCAGCAGTCCACATGCTAAGCAGAAACATTGCCTTCTGCTGTTCATGGTATTCATAAGACTGCATGGCTATGTACTTAATACCTGTAAAAAACCCAGGCTTCAAAGAATTATAGAATGCAAAGAAGCTCCTGTCCTCATCCCAAGTGATACAAGTTGGCAACAGGGCATCCCCATGCCTCTGAGGCACAAGCACATGGTTGTCTTGTGGGGCACAGCCCTGGTATCTTTTAACTTGGAAACACCTGACCTTCACACCATCAAGTTTAGATGGTTTGCAGTGAAAAAAGAAAAAAGCATGATCAACTTATACTTAGAAGATGATGCAATTTCTCTTGTGAAAATAGAGCTTCAGAAAGGAAAAGAAAAATACCCTGTAAAGTATGCTTTGAAATGCAAAGATTGATAGCTTACATGCAAATTCCAAAGACTTATATGGATACAGAACCCCCACATGTGAGAGGTTTTTTGAGATGGATAATAAAACAATGTCATCAGCACATGCAAGCTTTTGACAGGTTCTGCACAAGATTAAAAGGATCAGTCTCCATTAATTTGGCTTCTCCAAAAATGTGAGCTTACATTAGCAGTGTTGTCCAAGCACCTTTTTTTTTTTCTTCTTGTGACAGTGGAGACTCAACCCTTCAGTCTGAATGCTAAATTACATTGTAGATCTACCACTGACACTGCCAATGAACATGATATTGAGCAGCCATCAATCTTAATGCACAACTCAGGCCTCAAACTTGCCAAATCTATGATCATAAATACAAAGAAATGTCATTTAACTGGATCCAATGAAAGTTGAAACTTCTTTTATTTTTCTAGCTGATGTGGTATCTGATGGTTTTCAGACATAATCCAATCCTAATACAGATTAGTCAGCATGTAATGTCCTGATAAAAAAAAAGGTCAACATGAATTACTCAAATTCACTGATAGAAAAGGATCATATGGTAATAGGTGGTGAACTATATGTTTTCTCAAAAATAATGGACTACTAATTTTCATCTTGCTAGAGCTACAACATAATTTACTTCATAAAATAGAGATAATAACATATTAACTTTCATTTGTTTAATACCATCAAAAGTAAGGTCATAATTTATATATTTTTTATCTTATAACTTGAGATCTTGTATTATTTAGCCAAGTTAAAGGTCTTCCTTCATGTTAGTCCCCCACCACACTACTGTGACTAACTCTATGTCCCCAGCTTTGTGTTTTCTTTTGCAAAGCACTAAATGAATGCATATATTGCTGTCCTTTTTCTCTTGCAAATAGTTGAAGCCAATGTGCAAAGCAACCATGAGCTAAAATTTAGTCTGATTCTGTTTCTGAACTTCCAGTTGTAGCTTTTGGCACATATACTGGGCTATGAAAGCCAAACATCCTTCCAATTACTCCTCTTGAATCCCACATAATCACTGGAACATCTTTAAGAAGTAAGAGTTTTAGTGGTGTAAGCAGGTGCAATTGTGATACCTGCTATGTTTTGAAGCTGTGGGGAATGACTGCAAAGCACCAAAGATGTAAATTAACCAAAAGAGTAAATAGCTACTCTTATATTGGCTTAAATCTACAGGGCAGAGATATTATTCCAACCTCCAACTCATGATCACCATACCATTAAAAATGTCAACAGTATCAGGGAGTAATTAATTCTATGGTCTGAAATGGAAGACAACCCAAGATCTGTCTCTGAATGAATATTTTAGGGGAGAAAGAATATACCAGAGGTTGCTTTATGATGCCTTTATGTGATGCCCACTTGATTTCCCTGCTGCAAAAGGAGCTTTTGGTAAAAACTGAGGAATCTCACTATTTGTCTATATTGTTTCCCCTTTACCAAGATGTCCTGTGGGAGAGGAAGAGTCTTAGTGGACATTAACAATCATTTGATTGAAGGATTTGTCCTCCTTCTGGTTAAAAGAAAACTATTATCCAGTATGCAGCACTGTTTAAAGCATTGCAAGCATATGCTTTAATTGTATGAAACTCCATTTCTACCCTGTGATTGAATCAGATTGGAAGGACCACATCTCTCAACGACTGCACACAAGATTCCAATCTCTCTCTCTTCCTTTTTCTTCTCTCTCTCTCTCTCTGTCTCTCTCACCAAGTTTTCTTATTGGATTTTTGTCTATATATTCTACCCTTCCCCTGATCTCCAATTCCCTTTCCCCCTCTCCTCCTTTTCCTTGCTTGGCGATCTTGAGGTTCTGCTGCTCTGTTCTTCCGTGGCCTACCTTCTTAAATTTCTCTTGGGTTCTCGATCCAAAATCGAAACCCCAAGAGCTGAAGACTTTGTTCTTGCTGCTGTTCCACTTGTGTTGGGCAAAAGTCGAGTCCTTTGCGTCCACTTTGACTAATTTGCTGTCGTTTTGGGATATCTTCTGCTGTTAATTTCAGGGGAGACTCTGCCAAAATTCTCTTCAAAATCTGGCCTTTGGTTGATCCTCGGTGTAAAAATACGACCTTGCTGCTGAAATCTGCAGGGATTCTTCTTCCCAGTTGCAAGCTCTGATCTTTTTTCTGTACTGAATCCTCCTCCTCCGCCTCTCCTTTTGTTTTCTTCACATGCAGCATCTGTTTCTCTTGATGTTTCTAATTGATGTCGCCTATCCTAAGTGAGATCCTTCTCTCTGGGTGTATGATAAACTCCACCATTCGACACAGAACCCATCTTGTTCAGTCCTTCTCCGTGGTCTTTCTCTACTGGTTCTACGTCTTCTCCGAGCTTGTTCTGAGATCCGAGCACTCGGGCCCTGTCCATTCTCTCATATAAGTACAATCTTCTTTTGCTAGCGTTGATCTTTCAGCATATCTCCACCCAAGATCTTGTCTTGCCTGAAGCAGCAGCACTTAAATCTATAAAAAAAGACTGCCGAGAAAGATCTCATTTTTACTGTAAAAGACGCAAAAAGCTTCCATGGCTTCTCCCAGTGGGACTTCTTCTGGGTCCAGCCTGCTGCTCCCGACCTCGGGCTCCGAAGAGGATCTGCATGCACTGATGATGGACCAGAAGAAGCGAAAGCGGATGATATCGAACCGTGAGTCCGCGAGGCGGTCGAGGATGCGCAAGCAGAAGCATTTGGATGATCTGACGGCGCAGGTGAACCAGCTGAGGAAGGAGAACAGCCAGATCCTGTCATCCCTCACCCTCACCACGCAGCAGTGTTTCGCTGTGGAGGCCGACAACTCCGTTCTGCGCACCCAAACCATGGAGCTCACCAACAGGCTGCAATCCCTCAATGAGATCCTTCTCTTCTTGAACGGAAGCAACACCATCGTCCGCAATGGCTTCCTCATCGGTCCATGGAGCTCCACGTGCACGAACCAGCCCATCATGGCTTCAGCAGCAGACAACCTGCTTCAGCATTGATAGATAAGAAGCCATGGATTGCTGTCAAAGGGGGGCTGGTAGCTCTGCTGTTGCTAGCTGTGCTCGTCAGTGAGGAGGACTTTTGTCTATCTTGGTATCTATTGTACTTTTGTGTGTTTGGGTGGAATGCGGTCAAGATATTTAAGCCCTTTGGAGCTTCAAAGTGCTCAAAGTAATGTGACCTTTCGAGTGTCTTTTAACTATTAAGACTCTTAGTTTTATGCCAAGTGTGTCTGATCAGTAACTATAATATATGGTAGTGACTATGGTTTTACTAGATGTGACCATTGATGGCAGCATGAAGACTATAGAAAATGATTTGAATGGTTAGGTCCAGGGCGAAGAAGCTTCAAGAATTCCTTCATGGTTGTTTGAGCTTGGAAAAGTATAGTACAAGAGAGAGTAGACATCTCAATCAATGAGCTGAAAGAAAAGGTTTTCTTGCATTCCTACCGTGCACATTAATATCAGTCCATCATTGTTGCTGATGTCTGCCCTTCCCCACTCGCTCGCTGCACACCTCCATGGTATCCGATGGTACGCTCACAAGCCCATGCACATCGACATAACAACAAATGCAGACTGTGACAGTCGAAATACATGCGGTGAAAGGCCTTTTCTACTGCTGCATAAAGAAGATCGATGCTTCTGCCTTGTTCTGAACAAGAGAGCATTAGATAAGTGGTGTTTCAGACAGAAGTAAGCATCTACGCAGCATATAAAACGAAGCAGATCTCATCCGCCATGCACTTTACTAAGATCTGAATGATACTGTGGTGTTGTTCTTCGGTAGAAGCAAGGCAAAAAGGGTGGTGGATCGATGGGCCACCGTATGGTTGCAGTAGAGCGAGTCGACTGTGATCATATGAAAAGCTCGATGGCGACGATGACCGAGATCGGATGGGAGTCCACAGAACCCCACCACTTGTTGGGGTGGGACATGTTCTAATCGAATACTATCGTCTTTCTGGACCGTCAGATCAATCAATTATTCGAGTTCACGCTAAGATCGTCGACGATAGAATTGTTTCAGGCAAGAAAGACGTCTTCGTCTTCCTCCTCGTTATCTAATTTTATATTCTATTCCTTCTTTTCAAGCATAAATAATGAACATATTTTTTGTTAGTATATTTATTGATTTTATCGTATCGATTTTTAAATATACGAATTTTTTATTTATAAGGAACCGTCTGAAATATATAATTAAACACGGCGTCTAGAATCTTCTCAACCATCCAATGCGCGGCCACGTGCCATGACCACTTTGCATGCGTATCCAGACATGGACGTCGTCACCCCTCTCCATGAAGCCACCTCTCACACGTGTCAACATCCTGCACCCAACAACCCCGCTGACGCACGTGTGCCCTCGGCTGGTGATCCACGTCGCGCCCGCGGATCCATATATCCCCCGCCCCCGGACACCGCCTTCTTCTCGTGTCAAGCAAGCAAGCACACACAGAAGAAGAGGAACCGAAGCTTACGTCCGACGAGAGAAGAGAGGCGAGGAAGGGAATGGAGTATACGAGGGACGAGTACGGCAACCCGATCCGCACGGACGAGTACGGCAACCCGCTGCCGGTGAACCAAGGGTATGGAATTGGCGCCGGCGCCGCCACCAAGGAGCAGCACCACTGTGGCGGCACCGGTGGTCTTCACCGCTCCGGCAGCTCCAGCTCGGTAAGCCCACCTCTTCTCTACACTGATTCTATCGAAGCGGCATGCACCTTTCATTCTAAGGCGGAGAAAGCAGAGTAGAGATGAGAAGAATTCCTGCTTTACTTGCATGCATTGGTTGAGGCCGTGGATTAACATGATATTGGCAGTCTGAGGACGATGGGCAAGGGGGTCGGAGAAAGAAGAAGGGATTGAAGGAGAAGGTCACGGAGAAGCTGCCGGGTGGGCACAAGAGCGAGAAGGTGCACAAGGAGCCGGAGACCGGCACTGGCACTGGAGAACAGCACGAGAAGAAGGGATTGATGGAGAAGATCAAGGAGAAGCTGCCCGGCCACCACAAGGAGTAGATCAGCTGACATTGTAGTCGTAAACTTAGCCGTTTGTTCCTTGTGTTTATGTTATTGTCTACATCTTGTAAGAAAGTAACTGTTCGTCTCCTTCCTGTTCATATGTTCGGTCCTGAAGTTTAAATTTAGAGGTTACATCCGTTTCGGTATCAGCTAATGATTTCTCCCGTATAACTGTGTGACTAGCAGATTGGATTATATCCAGCAAAGATTAATTCCATGTCTAATGACCACAAAGTCGGATCATATTTGTTGATGTTTGCGCATAACTTGAACAGCTTGAGTTGAATGGATAGCAGAGAAGTTGATGAGAGTAATACAACTGCCATATTTAGAAGAATCTGACAGATACTTGTAAGAATTAATGGTTTCTTTCATAAAAGAATTTGGAAGAACAAGTAGGACTTATATTCATCACTACCAATGTAAGTATCACACTTGTATTCTTTGAGTCTCACGCCCAATTGATCCACATACCACGGCAGATCCAGATGCTGTTGCTGCTGCTCGAGCCTTCCCCATGTCCAAAGTTCTCTGAAGCATCCAACACACTGCTATGATCCAATAAACCTGAGTTGGCTAAACCTTCATTCTGTCCAAGTAGATTAAAAGTCTGGTGCAATTGGCCGTATACGTCAACGGTATTCCCTACTGAATCCAAGCAATGTCTGTGCTTCCATCAGTGGGAAGGAGTCGAAGACTGGCTTCAAAGGTAACTGCTCAAAAGCAGCACCAGCACACTGAGAAATGTGTTCTTCCGGCCACCGCCACTTGTGCTTCTTCACCATCACTCGGTGGCTTGTGGGTGTTCGGGTCGATTTCCCTTTATCTGAGTTTTGTCTTGAGACATGAGTTCCAAAAGTTCTTGATCTCATTATATGTTCTTCCGGGCAATTGTGACGCAATTTTGGACAACCAGCAATCACAAAACATGAGAGAGTTCGGCACTACGAGTTGGTCAAGAGGTCCCCTTCAAGATCGGTAGTCACCCATTGCCCAAAACTTCATGCAGGTTTATAATTGACTCCTCTTCTTGCTGAGAGAAACTGCCTCTCTTGAGGTCTGGTCACAGGTAATTGACCACCTGAACCTGCAACTCTTCCCACAGCACTGCAGTCCGGTAATAATTAAGAAAAGAAGGCTCTGAACTATATCGAGGAAATCCAAGTGTAGAGAAGGAAAAAGTTCAGCAATAAGGAAGAGCTGAAACAAGTCTGCTCATTTTGTCACAGAACTCCAACAGTCAACTCCACATCTATTGATATGATTATAAAGCTTCTCATCTTCTTCGGGAGACCACAAGCCTTTCCTTGGCTTCTGCTTGAGACTGCAATTAATGCCGTCTCAGTATCTCTGGATGAGCCCCTTGGATGTGGAGAGGTCTGAGGAGGTTGGAGGATTTAAAAGGCTGAAAGCAAAGGATTTAAGTTCATTATGAATACAATATACTTAAGTTTGAAGTTGGATGAAGAGGTGAGAGAGAGAGAGAGAGAGAGAATGGAGAACAGAGAGTCACAGAAAGATGGAGAAAAGAAAATTTCAAGAGGCTAACAAGAGTTAGGAGACTTGAAATAGGAGTGATGGTAGTAAAGACAAAGCTTTAGGCTAGCTGGGAAATGACATTTTTACTAGCTGGAATGATTATAAAGCTTCATTAAACTGTATCACTTTTTTTCAAACAAAAAAAGAAAAAAAATGAAATAATAAAGTTGCACCACAAGTTCCTCTGAATCAGTATTTGGTATTTCATTCAACTTAGAAAGTAAATGAACATTCTTTGACAGTCTTGTACAACAATTAGAATACTATCAGTCTCCACACACTGAGTGCTACAACATCTTCTTGAAATGAAAGGTTCCCTTACCTAAGAATTTTTTCTGTGGATATGAACAGATGCCATGGTCTCAAACTGTCACCCTGTTCTAAACATAGTTGATCATGTCAGGAATGACCTGATCTTGGTGTTTATCTAAGCTCTGGCTAACCACCATAAAATATTTTCAAGTAATTATTGTGCTGGCCTAGATATCATTCTCTAGATATTGTGTCACCTAGTTGCAATTAGTTGGATTTATGGTGGCATAAGAAATCAATGGAAGATTTCTTTGAAAACCACACCCACATACACAATTAAACTAGTTATATTTCAAAAAAAAAAATAATTATATGTAAGATCAACATTTTTTATTCTCCACCTTGTTTCAGTACACATAATATGCCAATACCACATCAATGGGCAAATCTGGCTGAGAATGCCAAAGGACCATTTTGTGATTTGATCACATCAAACCTACAGATGTGCCAGAAACAGTTAGTACATATGCTAGTACATTTTCCCTCAGAAAAGAAAAGTGAAAAAAATCATTATATAGCTGCTTTTGTATGTTCCTTCCTTCTGAGAAGGAACATCGTATTAGCTAGCTCCTCTTTGGAGTTACAGAAACCAGAGCTAAAGGAAACTACCATATGAAAACAAAGGCAAGACATTGTTTTATATTGCCTTGGATAGGGCTTGTGGCCTATTTTGAGGTGAAGATATACTTGTCCTATTTCTAAGTTGCATGGTTGTCTACCAACTCACATTGTTAACATCTCATTGATCTTCTATAGCTACTTATGTCTATATCTATATATATGGATTTCTATATTTTTATCCATTGAAGCTGATCTGTTGTAATGCATGTATTCCTCCTGAGTTCAACACTTGCAATGACACTATGATCTAACTTAAGATTGAGACACATATAAGGACAAATACAGGGATGTTGCTAGTTAATGCCTCATGCAGTAGTGAGATCTGCAGCTCTGTTTGTTTGTTTCCTCACTAATTCACCAAGTTTGAATTGGATTTCCACAAAGCTGTTGAACTCTTACTGTGCATTAAATGCCAACTGAATCATCCGTCATTATGCTGGCTAAGTAATTTTTTGATCTGTTAATCATGGCCAGCACTCTATTCCTTTGATTGCCTCAAGAAATTAATCATGCAGCTCAAGTGTCAAACAGTCAAAACAAGTCTTTCATGACTTTTTCAGTCTAGGTCCTCACTGTAATCACTATAGCAGAAGGGAAATAAACATTGTAAACTGTGCTTAAGTGGTGTCTATCATTATTGTGAAGATAGACATGGTTATAAGCAGATGGATTAGTTGTTGACCTTAGCTTGCCACCTTAAGATGCCTCTGCAAATCTTATCTTCCATGACCAGAAGTTATTACCATGAAAGAAAGCTGGAAGCTAAAACAAAGAGCAGGAATGATACCTTGATACAAGAGTCATTGAGATAAACAGATCAGGAAGATCTTGTTTGCTAGTTGTTATCCATTATTAACTTTGTACAAGCTTAGAGCATGATTGACTATATTCGAGCTTCGATTTTGCTTTAGTATAAGCATTCTTATTATCTTTTCACTACTTTATTTGATTATATCATACATGAAAGCATGGTTTTTATTGATAACAAAGAAAACTATTAAGCTAGACTAATATGATCATCATGTCATTATTGTTGCTGTTACTTCTGTTGTTTTTGTTATCAATCTAAAACTGATACAACAGTTATTTGTTAAACATGCTGACACTAACGTTTTTAGTGCCATGAACTTTACTAATAATTTGGTAGCAAGTCTTCATTCCTCTGCTGTGCTTAAAGTAGAAGAAGAATCTACGAACCTGCCTGTTGCCTTCCATTCCGTAGTAGTGTCGTCGTCGTCTCGTGGTCCCTGTGACCAACAAGGAGGAGGCTTCCTTTCCAAGAAGAAGAGATCATGATCTGAGAATGACAAGATTATGTAGAGGCTCTGTTGTGCCACTTGTCTTCCTCCATCCATCAACCCCAGGTCAGTGGTTCTTTTCATGCCTTGTCCCCTTTGTCCCATGGAAAGAGATGCTCTTCTTTGGTCTTTCGTGCCTTCAGCTCCAGGTGGTCCATCACAAGCTGCAACCTCCATCACTGTGTGAATCATCAGAGAAGACCAAGTTGCCCATCCATATACTTGTTATGTAGCAGTACTTTACTGGATGGAAATAAATAGAAATTTCATACATGATCCTCATCCATGGCTTTCATTGCTAAAACAATACTATCATCAAGTTTTGTATGGATAGAGACTTGTCATGTTTAAGGCTTGCAGATACTCTTTGCAGCTATGGATGCAAGTTCTCTTCAAGAAGTTCAACTCTCAAACATTATGTATTTACCTACCAACAACTGAGAGATAGATGCCATTCAGATCTTGATTAGTTTAACAAGATCACCATATGTAGATCCAATTCCAAGTTTTAAGCATTCAGCTCCTAGTTATATGTTGTGATTGTTGCCCATGGGGCTCACACCAAATCCAAGAGAACCAGTATGGCTGACTTTATCACTATTATGCAATATTCCTGTGATCATAATGGGGATTACAACTGAGTTCTCAGGCTGATGAACTTGGATCAGGAAATGACACTTCTATCAACGGTTTAAAGGTTTGTTTAGAGTACAAGAGCTGAAAGCATACATGGTCAAATAAACAGTCTGCTACTGATCTGAATTATAGGAAGCAGGGTATAAATTAGTCAATCGATCATGGATTTTTATTCATGTGATTCTGAAACTAAATTTCTTCCAAAATTTTTAGATTATTGGAATGGTGAGGATACACAGGACACCAAACTGTTTTAGATAACCCAAAAGCTTAGGAAGCTGAATCATAGCTTCAAAACACTTGGCACTAACAAGTAGTCAAATATATTTAACAGGTCAAACAGGGAAAAAACAGAGATGGTTCCACTATAGTAGAAACGGCATAATACCTGACAATATTGAGTTGTAATCAATGGGACAAAAAATGCTTAACACGAATACACTCTTCTCTGCATGCCAAAGAGAGCACAATTAGGCAGAAGTTTAGAATCCATTGGTTACATCTGGAAAATAATAATTACCTCTATTAAGGCATTAAGAGACACTATAATACTTTCATGTTCACTCTTGAGGAGTCAAACTAATCGATGAGGCAAATGTAGCCGTAGAGTGTATCTCTTTCTACCAAAATTTGCTTGGCATTCAGGTTTCTTCCAAGGGCTCAAGCTGATTCTGTCATTTACGAAGAGGTAAGACATTAGCTTGGTACAGATGTTATTCCCCTTTAAGCTAAAGAGGTCTTATTTGCAATCAAACGGGACAGCCCCAATCCCAGATGGCTTCTGCAGGGTTTAGCTTGACCTGTTATTGAGGGCTTCACTAAAGCTATATTAACTGAAGCTATACCAGACTTCCATTAAGATCTCTTCTATATCTACCACATCCCAGTAACTTTTGCAGATTATATGCCCATCGCTTGTTCGCTATAAATGTACCATAGGGATCATCACAAACAATCTGCAAAAGAACATGGAAGCAGTCAGTAAATGGAGCTCAAGCTGCATTTATAAAGGGTCAAAGCATTTGAACCAATGTCCTCTTGGCACAAAATGTTTTGAGAATCTACCAAAAGCTGGAATATCACCTTGATGCACAGGGCATTGGATTGCCCATGAGTAAGAAATATTTTTGCAGCAAGTACCACATTTCATATTTGATTGCATGCAAGTCACTTGTGGCATGTATATGTGCAACTAAACTCTTTTATGTTACAAGCAAATTTGTGATATAAAATGGTGTATGTCATACTTGCATAGTAGTTTGCAAGTTAAAATTGTGTTCAGGTACATCCTACCCCTTCTTATACCTCTTCTTCCTTTCCAAGCACCCGCCATCAGCTTCTCTAGCTCAGTTTCAAATGCAAGTAGCAACTGTAATCAGATAGTCATACAACTTCACCTATAAGTGCTACATGCAGTATTTGCTTTTGTCTTAACCAATATATACGGGCATCCAACTTCTAAAACACGGATATCAAGAAGAGATTTTTAATTCATATAGCTAAGAAGAATGAGATGGAGGAAAATAAAAATAATACAGTATGCACACCTAGAAAGGCATTACTTGTGAAATAGATATATTGGAAACCTCAAGAGCTTCAAAAGCAAAACATAGACACACACAAGCATACACGTCTGAGGAGATATCCTAGTGTTTAAGGTGTTTTGTGTGCAGTCAAGAGATCTATGTGTATTATGTAATATCTGAATTGAATCAGTGAGAAAAAAAGTCAGAACTATGATCAAGTACACCAAACTTGTGAGAACCTTTGAAGCCTTCATTATGGTTATGAGTTCATTACAGTCAGGACTTTTATCCATTGCAAGCAGATCAAGGACAGACTATGAATCTTCTAAAACTGGGAAGAATTCCAAGTTCCAACATATTTATCTCTCGGATCTAATAAGTCAATATTAGATTCAATCCTTATCAACCATTCATCTTATGCCTTATACAACACTATCTACACCAATACAGATGACACTGGATTTCTTAGTAGAATTATTTTCCAACAGATAATGCTTTAGAACAAACAATCACTGACATCTCAATCCCTCACTCCTCCAACAAAAGAACAACTGAAAATGACGATTCCGCATATCACATTATCAGCCAACATAAAAATCCCAACTTTATAGTCTCCACAGGTTGTCTTCGATCCCATTGCCGCCACCATCAATTAAAAGTAGCATAGACATACTATCGACCGTGTCATGCAATCAACCGATTCCAAAGAAATACGTCAAAGAAACTTCATTTTTCGGATACTTTTTAGTTCCAGATAAGGGCATCACTGAACCATAAACATACAAAGATGCTAAACAAAAGAAAACGAATTAGAGAGAGGAGACAAACACGCACGCTGCCCACGCTCTGGTGGTTGAGCTCTGTTATGGCAGACAAGTTGGTTCCCTGTGGGGAACAGAAGACACGAAAAGTAAGGATTTTGATCAAGATATACTCAGAACGAAAAGGAAACCAGAAAAAAATCGTAGAGTGCTTCTGGGCAAGAATCCGACGAAAGGTCGAAGAATTCGCGCGGTGACAACAATTGCCTACCGATTCGCTGTGTTATGACAGATAGAGAGAGAGAGAGAGTATCCAGAGGTGCTTCAAGGGGGCTCGAGCTGTAGAACGAACGGGGTCAGAGACGGGAGAAAGAAACCCCATTTGCCTTTCGACCCGGTCCGGTTGTCTTGTCTCGACCCGACCGGAAAATTAAGATCCGGTTTGATTCGACATATATATATATATATATATATATATATATATATAAGATCAGCTTCTTTTACGATAAGTAGGCCTTCTTTGATATATCTCACTCCTAAGAAAGCTCCCACATAGTTAGGCGAGACAAAACCAAGTTCTCCGTCCTGCAAAGAGGAAGGAGAATCGTCAATGTTAAGTTTAGTCCTGTCCTTCATTTTAGTGCATTTGCCTTGAGGTATAGCTAGTGTAAGGGCCTGAGCTAGATTGCTTTAGAATGACAACCAATAGGAGGGAAGCATAGGCGTTGTGGTAAATCAAACTGGCTTGCAGTGACAGCGGGCTATGAACCATAGACCGTGTGGTAAATAAAACTGGTGCAGTGGCAAGAAATGAGAGGTTTTCTTGTCATCTATCATTTTGTTGCAGACAGAGTGCCACAAAGAGTTTGGTGGAGAAGTTTGAATTAAGTGTAGTAAATAAATGTTGTAGGATCCATACTCGACTTCTCGACTACATGGATAAGGACATTTATTTGGTTTGGAATGGAAATGCAAGTCTAAATCACAAGGAAAAGAATTGAACTGGACGCAGTTGTTTTAAGTGCAGAACTGGTTGTATACTTTCACCTTAACCTTTCTCGGAATTTACAGGCATCTGATACACACTTGTACAGGTGAGAAGGTAAAGAAGAATCATTGGGAAGAAGATATGCTTTCTGGAAAGAACCTAAAAGTTGTAGGTTGACAAAGAGGAACAGCATCGACCCACTCAGGCAAAGAATAAGGAGATCGCTCAAGGGCATCTGATACTTCTTCCTGGTCCTCCAAAGTAAAAGTAGTTTCCCCAGGCGGTGTTGAGCCTCGCCTGCACGTCGTAGCAGTTTGGGTGATCGGCGAGGACTTTGAGGTTGGCCGCCGGGATCAAGCTGTTGTCCCAGTCCACCACCTGCAGGTTGCGGAAGTAAGCAGCTCGTCCGAATCCTTCTTGGGCGTAGTGGCCGCTGCCCATCTGGGTGGAGGAGTGGAACCCCGAAGCGTGGGTGTTAAAGATCTCTCCACCGAACTGCACCATGGTGGCCTGCCCGGCCAGGTGACTGAACAAGGAGGACGGCCAGTAGCCCACCAGCACGCCGGAGCCGAACTCTAGCCACCAGTTTCCATGTTTTGGATCCTGCAGTTTTTGTAGCATGCAAACGTTAAGTCGGAAAAAGAACATAGTATCTCCATGCCAGAAGCTACTTACAAGAAGTCGATCATCGTTGAGTTCTCTCATCAAGTGTATTTTAATCTTCTACTTTGCTGAACACATTCAGTCTAATAATTCATGATTCTGCTACATGTTGTGGATGAAATCATTACAATAGAAATGATATGCTGCATTGAAGATTGCTAGCTAATCTGATTGATACGAAGTCCTCGAAGCAAAAGAAGATTAAGTTTAATGCACGAACAAGTGACATCTGACAGCCACAGACCAATCCTTAAAGGTAAAGGTAGTCAGAAGTGGCTTGTGGAATCCAAAGAGTGCACCGAGGGATGGATCCTTTGTTCCCTCTCCAAGGTCCACCACAATCCCCTGACAGCAGTGTACACCACCAGCTCTCTCTAGAGAGTTTACTTCAAAGTCTTATGGGAAGGGAGATGACTGCAATTATGAGACTCATAAACAAGTGTGGGGATCCACTATTGAAAGTGAGTTCCAATTGGAACCACTTCCAACCTAAATATTCGCAGGATAGCACATGGGATTGGGCTCCACAAATAATCATGAGCTCCATATTTTGGTAGCAAAATACATGCATGGATGATGGCACTTCAAATTACTACAAGGTTAAATATTAAAGTAAAACAAAGTACACCATATTTATTGACTACAATAAAGGACCATGTGTGGAGTTATTGTGTAAGAAAATGACAATTTCAAACATTCTCTATGCATATAAAACTTTTGGATTCTACACACAAAAAACACTTTTAAATTATTATATTTTATATTTTTTATTTGAAAATTTTGGTCTCGATATATATATATATATATATATATATATATATATTCCGTTCATAACCTCACGTTCAAAGTTATTAATCTTCATATTTATCCCTTGAAGTTTAAATTTTATATATCCTAATGCAAAATTCAAAAACTTATTGTTATGGCATACTAGTTATTGTTCATCAAATAATGACATTAAATCTCATATCGACATTAATATTAGTTTAATTATTCTATGTATACATTCAAAGTTAGTAATCTTCGTATTTATCCCTTTAAGTTTAAATGTTATATATCCAATGCAAAATGCAAAAACTTATGGTTTTGGCATATTAGTTAATATTCATCAATTGATGGATCAAACAATGACATTAAAACTCATATCAATGTTACTATTAGTTTAATTTGGTTTTAAACTTGTTTTATAATGCATCCAATCAGATCTAAGTTTGCAACTTTTAAGATCTAATAATTCTTGGAATACCGTTTTGTTTTTAGAGATGCAAACATGCAATGAAACAGAAAAAAGAAAAAGGAAAGGAAAATTCTAATGTGATGAAGGAAATAAGAAAATAAAATGAACGATAAGAATAATAAAAGATATTTTGAATATTTAATTTTTTTTTGTAATTTTAACTCAAGTTAGCTATTGGTAACCACAGTTCTAGTAATTAATCAATTTACTGATAAATGTTAACAAGAGTTCCATATGAAAAAGGATCTAAACATCTGAAGAATGTAAATGTCATATTAAATTCTATAGGGACAAATATACTACTTCCAAGATATAAAAGGATAGATATGTAGAGAACCCTTACTTGAAAACCTAATAATCCCACCACCTTTGATGAGGTTTTCAAGAAGATAAAATGAATAATCTTAAGACACCATTTTCCAACAAAAATAAGTCAGAAAATTTATTTTACAATGGAATAACACATTTATTACTAAATGTAAAGTCAATTGTAAGACTTCTAGAGATATTTCCTTGTCCACTGGGTTAGTCCTTCAGTAATTATCTCATCCACCAAATCTTCTCAGCATTAAAGGGAGACAGCCCTTTAACTTTGCTAGTTTTGCATGTCTCTTGCCATGACAACATCGTCACCTTTTGTACTAGTGTGACCTAATCAACTCCCTCAAAAAGATCAGCTGCCATGTGGCTAATCCAACTTGTGAGCTACACTCTATCCTTCATCTATACACTCAATCTATCATCTTTGCCAAGGTTCCAAGAATTATACATCCAATGTAGGCCTAGCTAGCATATGCAGGACTATGTTTTGGTATAGGGTCTGAGTTCACGCAACATACCTTCCAAATTAGTAGACTGATATCGAACTGCACCCCATTATACCTCGAGGTGGGAGATATTGCAGCTCCAACAGCAATCCTGTTGCTGGTTTGGACGAAGCCCGAGCACAAGAGGTTGTAGCAGCCTGTTGCTTGATACGCATCGGTCTGTAGAACAGAATTCAGCATAGTTTGAGTCTAGTGTGTCTCATAGATTCATGGTCAAGAGTGCTTACCGTCCAATAAGTGAAGAATCTTGGAGAACTATCTCCATAGAGCTGCGGGCTGACCTGAGAGAAACAAGAAAAGAAAGAAAATGATGGAATAAAGAAAAAATAACGAGGAAAATAATAGTATATCCATGCAGAAAAAGGCTGTTAAAGCCGAGCATCTTTTTGTTGGGTTTGTGGGTTCTTTTCAGTTCCTATGCATCGAAGTGGATGAAAGGGCAACACTTTGACTTGGATAGAAAAGATGGAAGAGTTTGACTCGTTAGTAGTAGTACCTGCCATCCAGCTTCGATGGTGTTCAGATCGCTGCCGAATGATCCGGAGATGACCCATATCTGTGATAAGCTGAACTCAGAAGAACTGGCCACCCGCGGTGCCCACACATTCAAGCTGGCTTTTGCACCATAATATTGATCTCCCGCGACATACCCTACAGCATGCTGCAACCACAACAGCCTGTAATCAGCTTGTGATCTCGTGTTGGTGGGTGTGTCATCTTAAGTCAATATCCACAGACAACTGCAGCCGATCCAGTTTCCTTGGTCAAGCTCGGACTGCAAACTGTAACGGCAGTAGAATAATGAACTCAAGTCAACTGGCTTTTCTCTAAACATGTTGGGCCGTGGAAGATGGACATCTAGATCTTATGTTGAGTCGTAGATCTTCTTCTTGTAGTTGTTATCGTTATGGAGGAGTTTGCAGAAATGGTGAAAGAAAATGTTTGAAGTCCTCAGCTTTTAATCAAGTAGGTGAGCTCTTTTCAATGCTCATAAAAGCAAAAAAGAAAATGAAAAGGAGCTAATCGAAGGAGTTGTTGAGTTCATTAATATCTGATTTATGATGTGGCAGCGGATTGGTAGGGAGGACATGATGCGTGTTTGGCCGTCGGTCCGCCGGATGTCCATCTTAGTTGTATTGTTCTACTTCTATTGCTTTCCATCCTAGTAAAAAAGATGTCTACTTTTGAGCATCAAAAGTCCCAAACTCACCTCATGTCCACTGCCCTCGGAATCTCTCCGTGTTCTTGAGACTGGCTTTCTTCCGAATCTTCGTGCAGGGCTGGCTCGCAGGATGTCTTCTTCCTTGGTTCTTCGGATCGGAACCGTTCCTTCTGGGCATGTCTCTCCCGATGTTCTCCATAACTGGATGTTGTCGTCGGTCGGGACACCGGCTTTATGGCCTTTGGGTCTCTCCGGTGGATCCTGCAAACATTTGAACCTATGTATTGAGGAAAACATGATCTGCAATCGCTGTGAAGTGTTCAGAGATATGTATATGTTGGAGAAAATTGCTGGTACCAAAGGTTTCGATCCTTTCAGCATGGGATGATCGAATGCCGGTTGGAGGTGTGAGGGAACACAGTCTATGAGATCGCCATCCGGACTCTGTGCAGCCAGCAAAAGCCAAGCTTATTGTACCCCGCTAAGAAGAAGGAAAGAAGTAGTGGATCAGGGAGTGCCTGAATTGTCTTGAGAGAAGGCCTGTTGAGCCTCTTAAGATGCGCTCTTATCCTCCGATACTTGGGAAGCTCTTCGCCAGGACGCAACGTGTTGTTCGCTGCTGACGCCGAGACGACAGGAGCACCGGCAGCAAGCAGCTGAAGGAGCACAAGAACGACGACCACCACATGGATTGAGAAAGGTCCGCGGCCGCTAGAAGCCATCTGTGTGGGATTTTGGAGCACTGAGATCCTTCTTCTATATCAGCTGTCCGTATCTAAGTGAGTTGGTGTGCTTGTCTTCTTCCTGCGCCGTCAGATTGGCCCCCTTCGTGTTGTATCCCCATAGAAACACAGCTTGCACCTCTCCCTCTCCCTCTCGCCCCTCCCTTCTCTCTCTGAGAGACCAGATTAGGTATTCGCGGAATTTACTACACTGTCTCTGAACAGCTCTCCCTTATTTATATCCTGTCTCCCTCCCCTCTCTTCTGGCGAGCTTCAGGGTGTGGAATGGCCAAGTTCTGATGGGCATATTTCTCCAGCTTGAGGTAATAACAAGGACGGGTTGGTATGCAGCTGTTATTATAGAACTCCATCCATGTGGGTGTAGGCTGGAAGAGTAGTAATCAATAGGTCTGTTCTTTTTCTCTCTCTTTGGTTTTCCTTTGCCTCTGACATGATGGATTTTATAGGTGGGCAGAGAAAAGGAGGCCAAGCATTCAATCTTTAGCCCTTCTACTCTTCTTTTCACCCTCGTTTGTGCACCTGTGGTTCCTCTCATTCATTCTGCTGTTCCAGGAGGAGCCAATTCCTCATCTCTCATTCTCCATGTCTCAGTTTCCCAGGTGTTGTGCTTTGATTCCTGATCATTCTCAACAGTAAACTAAAGCTACTTCACTGTAGATGCCCACCATCCTCTATTTACTTTTTGCTCAGAGGAGATTTGAACAAAGCAGGTTACAATGTTCTATATATAGATTTGATTGAGCCCATCAGAAATGAATGGAAGAACATGATGTTGGCAAACAGTCGACTGTTGTGAGTGCATCAACTGGGGGACCTAAGCTTGCTGTAGTGGATCCCAGCAATGGAGAGTGCTACTTCCATGAACCCCTCCTTTTATCTTTGTCTTGAGAATTTCCTTTCGATCATGTGCATGACCCATAAACCACCAATGCAGCATACGAAAAGGTGCATAGATGACTGGAAAAATGGTCCTCACTCATTAGAGTCACAAGTACAAGATTTCATTGCAGTTGCTGCACCTCTCCTCTGTAACATTAGATTCTATACCCACCGAACAGTGAACAAAAAATATTTTATTCTTTTACTTCAGTTTGGAATAGTTGACCAAACAGTCAATTATTATGACCCAGAAATGCTACAACTCGGTAGGATTCTAAGCTATATTGTCCCCTCCTTTTCCTTTCTTTTCGTGCCACACCATACCTAGCTAGGTGTCATTCACCTACAAATATTGCCATTCACAAAGCTTAATAATAGAAGAAGTCTTAGTGCATGCGATAGGGCTTCTTTTTTTTTTTTGTTTAAGATAAAAAATCTCAATAATACTGAGAAAACATATTTCTATAGTTCTTGCTATATAAATTGCCCCCGACTTTTTGTAGATTGATGTGTTGACATACGGATATCAACCTAGTCAAAATAAAGCATATGCGATATCGATCTTTCCGATATTTAAGTTAGTAGAAAAAAAAAACTATTTGAATGAAAAATTATATCTCTACATAAATAAGGTTAACATTTACTAGATAGGTATGTCGTAGAGGACAGCTTCATGAAATTATCGGTTGATGATCTGAATCATCGAGCTTTGTAGACGGTAGTATGGGTTGATGATCAAAAAATTAGAATTGCTTTAATGAGATAACGCATTTATTACTGTAGTACACTAATGATCTGCTTGTATTAGACCAAAGCAAATACAACAAAGACCACCATTATTCCACACAAAGACACAGGCACAACCATCGGAGAAGAAAGCAGTAGATGAGAAAGGAGTTGCTCCGGTTGCTCAAGGGCACACATCGCTCCTTCCCGGGCCTCCAAAGAAGAAGTACATCCCCCAGTCACTGTTGACGCCTTTGGTTATGTTGTAGCAGTTGGGCTTTCCGGCAGTGAGGCTGAGGCTTTGCACCGGGACGAGGGTGTTGGTGGCGTCCACCACTTGTAGGTTATGAATGTAAGCAGCTCTGCCGAAGCCTTCCTCTGGGAAGTAGCCGCTGCCCATATGGGTGGCGGTGTGGACGCCGGAAGGGCCTTTGTTGACGATCTCGCCGCCGAACTGCACCGTGGTTGCGTTGTCCGCGAGGTGGCTGAACAAGGACGACGGCCAGTAGCCGACCACGGTGGAGTCCCACTCCAGCCACCAATTCCCATCCTTTTTATCCTGTCGCACCATCAACTCATCATGTTTAAACCGAAGCCCTCAAGCAAATTACACTTCTTCGTCTATAATGAAAGAATAAACACTGACTTCACCGTTCTATCAAATAAAGCTTAAACGAAATCTTCATCTATCAAAATGACGATCAAATTCGACTTTCATACACTACTGTGATGAGTCCATATAATTTAATTACCTTCCAAACTAGTATCTCCACTTCAATTTGCTTTCCGTTGTAAGTTGATGTTGGACTGATGGAGCCTCCGAGAACGATATTGGTGTCGGTTTGGACGAAACCAGCGCACTGTAGGTTATAGCAACCCGTGGACTTATATGCATCGGCCTACAATATTTGAGGACATGGCATACACAATAAGACATCTCTAAATTGATCTCAGATTCACTTGGGAGGAGTTCATACCGTCCAATAAATGAAGAATCTTGGATAGCTCTGTCCGTATAGAACCTGAGAAAAATCAAACGAGGGAAATATTATAGGTTGCGTCACAAAATGGATCGAAGAAGAAGACACAATGAATATAACAATTTCTTTTCTCATGAAATCCAACATTAAAGCAACAAAATAACGTTTATTTTAACTCGTACGTTTTCTCTAAAGCACTTTTGTTTGTGTGTTTACTCGACCAAAGTGTATTCTAATTAAACTGAAAAGAGAGCATTAAATTGAAATATTTTTATTCATCATCACTCGACCTTATGATCTCTATATCTCACCATCTTCTATGATACATTACCTGCCACCCGGCTTCGATGGTGTTGAGGTTGGTGGCGTAAGTGCCAGAAGTGAGCCAAATCTGTGATAAGCTGAACTCGCCGTTGTTGGCCACCGCCGGCGCCCACACGTTGTAGGTGGCTTCTGCACCGTAGTACAAGTTTTCATCTTTCACCGTCCCAACTGCATACTGTCACACACATATAGTATATGAATAATAAACACCACATATATATATATATATATATATGTTTTTGATTCCTCACAGATTCCTCCTAATATTAGTTTTTGATTAACGACCAATACACCAACCATTCTAACCTCATGATTAGTGAAGGGACTTTCTCCTGCACCCTCTACAAGCTTCCTCTCATACTTCCTCACTCGCAGAGCCTCTTC